GTTTTGTTTTGCGGGTGGTTTCTGGTGCTGGTCCAGGGCTGACATCACGCCATGCCTAGACTGACATCATTTCATTCGAGGAATGACATCATGTCATGCCAGGGGGTGACATCATGCCATGCAAGGGGTTACATCATGCCATGCCCAGAATGACATCATGTCATGCCCAGGGGTGACAAACCTATACACCCGCTATCTGGGGTCTATGCCGGTGCAATTCTATATAGCAAAATGTTGGTATTGTGAAACATCCCGAAGCCAGATTTGACTAACATTTACACAGAAACAGCTGCTTGAGCAAAGAATCGCAATTATTGCCAGATGCAGATGCACTTCGAGTGATCACCCCTACACAGTCACAAAGCACACATAGTAGTCTACAAAGAGCTGGCGTTTGAGGTGCGGCGGGGCGGTTGAGGTCCTGCGGGGAACGCTGCCATCCTGCGCGGTTGAGGACGAGGAGGAGGACGCAAAGGCGGAGGCGGACACGGAGGAAGAGAAGGAAGAGCATAAAATCTAACAACCCTCACAGGTGAGATACAACATGTCGTGGATGATCTCGGGTGTTCACCTGGGGGTGACTCTGAAAGACCACGAGGTGTGTATTTTGCATAGTCATCCTTTTCCCAACATCGAAAAACCCTTGACCCTTTTTGTGGTTCAACCCGCCGGACCATCAATCAAGCACTTGAATGACGCCAACGTTGCACCAACCTTCTGAACTGAACATTGACGCGCTTCCACCGCACCTTTGACTGCCTCCAAGCACTTGAAGCGATCAAAGCGGCTGGCCGCACCCTGCAACGGCCATGTCGACTGGACGCCCACGTGCTCCGCGGCCCGCGCGCGGATGAGGCTGGTCATGTCGGTCAAGGGGTCGAACCTGTCAAAAGCGGAAGGCCGGGCGAACGAGGGTCGAACCTATTGGGCTTACAAAAGATGTTAAACAAAGCAACCTGCATATGACAGCACAATCTCCTTTGAGAAGGAAACCATGTGGAAATGACATGGAGTTCCTGGAGACAAATTTTGACAAGTCTTGAGAATTCAATAGAACTCATGAACGCGAGCGGAAGAAGCGTCATTTCCAGTTTTGGGGGCTCAACACCACCCCCTTCGCCCAGAATGTAAGCCAACAAGGTGAGCAAACCATGTGGAAAACAGCCACGCTGAAGAGAAAAACATAACAGGATGGAAAAGGCATGTTCAACCTTGTGTCCAACAGGGGGTATTGAGATGCTTGCTGGAGATGCTTCCTCAATTCTGCCGGCGGCGTGCACGTGCGGTCATCTGGTGTTTTGCGGCCCAGTAAGATCATCTATCGAGCCAATGCAAGCCACTGCCTTTGGGAAAAAAAGTTCTGGAAGAAGCCCACCGGACATATTACATGTGTAAGATGTATGATGGTGTATATATTGTATATTATATGTGTGGAAGCTCTGGTCAATAAAGATCTATAACTTATTTGCTTCCAACTGCCTCAATTGTTTTTGAGTTGGAACCATAGAAAGTGTGTCTCCCAGATTGCCTTGCGTGCGGAAAACAGTGCCAATGCTGTAAAGCTCGATGCCACAAACTGAGAACACCCTTACTATCAGCCCCTGGAACATCCACATGAATTGTGTCATGTCCTCTTTTGTGGCTTCTTTTGTCAGCAATTCCTAGGCCAAACTCTTTGGGGAATGCATGCTATATAGAGACTCCCCCCCCATCGTTGGCGGCTGGACATGTTCAACACCAAGGCGCTCAGGCGCTGGCTGGCCCTCCAAGTGCCTGCCAAAACGGTTCGCTCAGATTGGAAAGAGAGACCCTCGGACTCCCTTCCCAAAGGTTGAAGGACCCGAACTAGACTATCCCATAGGTAACTCAGGTGATGGGTCCGATCAGGTGATGGGTCCGATCAGGTGATGGGT